AAACATTTATTTTCTTATTCAGGTTGAAGTTAAAGTGAACCTTAATTTAAGCAGTCTATCATGAGATAACATGGGAGAAATCATCAAAAACAATTATATATCCTGATGTTAGGAATCATGGTGAAAAGACCACAATGCAACACCCCATCTCACGAAAAAGTCAATACAGGAGTGCAAGCAATGAGTTACAGTGGGAACAAACATACAGAAATGAGGTGGATAGCACTCTCTTTGGACACACTTGAACACAAACACACAATCATTTATTTCAAACTACATCCTACAGCTATAAGCTAAAACACTAAAGCCTGTACTTGTGCACAACCCTTATGTTTTCAAGTAACTTTATGACTTCTCATAAATCTACTATGTACGGTGGCCGAGAGAGCTCAATGCGCTGCAACTTCAGAAAACACATGCAAATAGAAAAAGCACCAGCAAATCAAGAAAACATCATCAGTTTGACAGCAGGTGCTGCAAATGCTCACAACGCAAACAAATAAAGAAACGCGCTGCAAATGCTCACAACACAACCAAATAAAGAATTTTATTTGCAGCGCGTTTCTTTGTTTGGTTGTGTTGTGAGCATTTGCAGCGTGTGTGTTGTCAAATTGATGAAGTTATTTTCTTAATTTGCAGGTGGTTTTTTTTCTATTTGCATCGCGTTGAGCTCTCTCGGCCACCGTAACTATGTGTGTATGTGCACAGCATATACTTTCCCCTCGAGGCCAGGGAACAATATGTACCATTAATCATTTATCTGTGTGGGAAAACATACTACAGTCTTGGGTGTTTCAGGCACCAAGTGTCAAAATTCAGATTTCAATCATTCCCATCTTCTCATTTTATGACGTTTGACACTAATTAGTACTACATTCGTATTCAAAACCAACCCTGAACGTAGTCAACAATCACTATAAAATGAGCTCCAGTGAGGAAACACGGAGACTGTTCATTAGACACTGATCAAAAATACAAAATTTTTTTTTTTTTTTTTTTTTAGAAGTCAGCACTGGGTGGATGAACCTCACGAAAAAGTAATATTTCACCTCAAAATCAAAAGAATAAAAAAAATTATAATTGCATTAAAATTATGCACATCTTTAGGACCATTAAGATTGTTTTTGTTTTCATTGAAACGGTTAAGCCAATTTTCCCCTCCAAAATGTCATTACCACAATGCAGAAAAAAACAAATTCTCATTACAGTAATACAGTAACAAAAACAGTTCTTTAAATTAAAAACATGCAGTATTTTGTATGTGTATATATATATATAAAAAATATGCATTACAATAAAGTATTATTCTGTGCTTAATATTATGAAAATAATATTCACAATGCAAAAACAAAGGTTCCAAAAATGGGCTTCATTCCATGAGATATATTTATACACATACTTGTGGTGAAATATGACTATTTTTTTGACGAGTTTCATGAGATTCACCTGGGTAAACATTTTGGTTCCCTTTTCAAATCAATAGTGATTCCCATTGGCTCATGGGTGATCATGTAAATGTTGCTTTGCAACAATAGTTTAAAACAGTTGGTTTTCAAATGGCTGACTTCAAATACAAACTTTCAAAACCACAATAAATTGAGCCCTTCTGCAAAGGTTTATACAATCGGCGTTTCGTTCAAGGAAACATTGAAAATGAGTTTCGGTTAGGTACAAAGGAACTGTTGAGAATTGTATTAATGGCTTTTATGAGAGCAGTAAACCTTGATTTGTTTATCTGTATCATCAGACCTCCAATAATGTCATTAAATATGAAAATAAGCCTTAATACTTTCCTCTCTAAATAGCGATATCAAACTATGACAAAATACACAGACTGTCCTTGTTTTTCTGTTCCAATTTAGACTCTTCAAAGAACCCTAACATCAAAAGACCACCATCACACCATGAAACATGCTTAAATACTCAAGTTCAATTGCATGAAACGTACACAAAATGGCTACAAAAACAAATGACCTGGCAATAAATTCCTTTATCTCAGAAAGGATAGGCAGTAATCCGTTTGGCGGTCTAAAAGCCTGCAGATTCGAAGAGATCATTTAATATAAATGCTGACTTTGAAGACTGAGAGGAGTTGAATATTATAGAGATGGTTCGGCTACATCTAAAATATCCAACGCGTGAATAACTGCAGATCTGCAAAAAGGCAGTCTTGAAGTCTTAAAGTCTTGAAACTGGTTAAGCGACAATTGCAGGGTAGTAGAGGCGGCGCAACTATAACGACATGTGAATAATCCCGCCCACTTTAAAGCGGTACTGAACTGCAGTGGAAACGCAAACCGAGCCGAGGCGTACCGTGCCGTGCCGTACTGAGCCGTACCGAGCCGAGTCGTACCACGCAGTGGAAAAGCGCCATTTGTAATAATCATGTCTTGTTCGTTGACACTTGAAGGACATTTTGATGTTTTCACTGGACATTGTACGGACAAGCTCAAGAAAAGTGTAAAGCCCAGTATTTGTGTCATTGTGTTGTTGGTGTTTTGTTGACCCTTCACCGGTTAAATGTCAGTCCTTTCATATTTCCCATCACATACGTTGCTCTACTGACCTGTGCTTGGCTAAAGATGAGACTCATACAGCAGGGGCAGGAAGGGTGAGAAATGAGGGATTTAGATGAGAAAAATAGGTGGCTGATGAAAGTTAGCTGGTACAGATTGAATGAGATCAGGGACAGGGAGTAGAGACAAAGTGGGATGAGACCCTCAGTAAAACCACAGGGTTCACCACCCATCAAAGCCAAGATGTGAAGCTTTGATGAAATCAGACCCCAGTTGAGGTGAGCTGCGGTGGGCAGACCTCTGAGGAGATGGATCTTTATGGAACCAAACCACATGGAGAAAAAAGGAGAGAGTCCAGCACATACAGCCACGGCTGATCTTTGCTCAGGGGGGACTGCCGTAATTTATGCTAAAAATGTTTTCCACTGCAGACGCTGCACTCCCAACGGCTGCCAATTTCTGCACTGAATAAAAGTGCTGCAGATTTGCTTCATTTCGAGCTGTTTTACTCTCCTTTTTGCATTCTGCTTGCTGCAATTCATGCGTTTTCACAGAGACAATCTCCTTTCACTTTTCTTGCTGTTCTCTGATTATCTCACAAATTATAAAGGATTAGTGTATGAGGAAATCCATTTCAGAAATTTGATTTAGATTGGGTGACCCCCTCACAAACACATTTTACATTCATTCTGTTGATCTGCTCTGACAGTGGCTGTGTTTGGAGTAGCATACTTTCTGCAGTAGGCCTATACTATAGTATGACTAATCTATATGCACATTTTCTGTGCAAAATTGTAGGCCTGAAAAAAAAAAAAAAAAAAAAAGAGCGAGTAACACGATGTTCACACACAAATACACTAAAATCAACCCTGAGATAAAGACAGAGTTCCTTTAAAACAAAAAATAAAGATGATGTTACCCAAGTGGACCTAGGACTTATACTAGATCCTAAAAATTCCTACAAGAGCGTTTAACATACCTTCGCCTTTTTTAACTCGTAATCCAATTCGTGGCTTTAAACCAACAACAAAAATCTTTCTCTGTTTCTTTTGAACAAATTTTGGGTAAATTCGTGCTATCCTTAAAGTCTACACTGTGCATCACAGTGGTTACCTAAACGAAGTTGCAATATCCAATCTAGACGATTGCTTAAATGTTGAGCTCAGACCAAAGCGACAGTAATAACGAAAATAAAAACAATAGAAATCAACTCCAACTTAAGAGAAGTTCCACCAAAATAGGTGCTTTTAAGGTTGCGGTAGGATGTCTCAAGAGACCATTATATGCTAGCAGGAAGAGAAAAAAAAACTACAATAAACTAACCTCCAACTTAAAACTAAATGCTTGAGGCATGACTGCTTCCTAAGTGATGAGATCTCACCACCAAGGAAGCAACGACATGGAAAAATGCAAGTTTGAGATGTACAGTGCAAGTGTTTTGATGAGCCTAATACATTACTGATCACGGAAATATGATGTTGTGTACTTTAATAACTGTGAGCACATTATCCTCGTATTGCGTCTTCACTTGTTTATTTTGGCTAGCTTGATAATGCTTTCAGATGTTCTTCCAAAATCCGCACAGAAAATGTGAAAAACGTCTGCAGATTCAACAAAGTTTTACTTTTATTCCCAACAACATCGGAGAACTGGCTGGTGGCGTGACTCTAAAGATCACTGGGATTGACGTAACTACAAACTCAGTTTTTGGTTTGGTTGGAAACAAAACCAATTCTGAATAATGTGAAATATGGAAGTATTCATACTTCGTGGTTTGGCTCTCTTAAAGGAATAGTTCAACCAAAAATGAAAATTGTGTGAGATTTTACTCATCCTCAGGCCAGTTTGATTTTCATCAGAACAGATTTGGAGAACTTCGCTAATTTATCCTCTGCAGTGAATGGGTGCCGTCATTGAGAGTAAAACATCACAATAATCCACACAACTCCAGTCCATAAATTAATGTAGTTTCTTACAAACATGCAGCTTTTAATAAAAAAACAAATAAAATAACTTTAAACCATTGCCTCCGGCCAAAATAAGAGTCAGTAATCCATAATAACACTTCCTCCAGTGGAAAGGTGCATCCTTTGTTGTCCTCTCACATCAAAATCCGTATCTGTTTTACGCTGTTTTCAATTATAAATGGTGCTTGATCTGTGCATATTTCTCTTCTGGTTCAAACAACATGATTGTTTTCACTAAAGAAAGCAATATCTGGACTGGTATTTTAGTTAAAAACGTCTTAAAGATGGATTTATTTATTACGAACATGCAGCTTTTCACTTCACCAGACATTAATTGATAGACTGGAGTGGTGTGGATTACTTGTGGATTATTGTGATGTTTTTATCAGCTGTTTGGACTCTCATTCTGACGGCACCAATTCACTGCAAAGGATCCATTGGTGAGCAAGTGATGTAATGCTAAATTTCTCCCAATCTGTACCGATGAAGAAAAACTCATCAACATCTTGAATGGCCTGAGGGTGAGGAAATTTTCAGCAAATTTTTATTTTTGGGTGAATTATTCCTTTAAAAGGCAAGGAGTCCAAAACAGTCTTCTGCAAGACACTTGACAGTAAAGTGAAGTATAGGAGCTTAGTTAATCCCCCATCAATATTAGAATGAATTTGAGGAGAACTGTGATGTACATGCATGAGCCCAGCCTGTAGGGGAATTCGATTGAACCGGCCCATCAAAACAATGTTCTTCAAAGTTGAAAGACGAAACGGAGAATGAAGGAGAGTCTTGAGGTGGCTACAACTGGATCAAAGTCTTTCGGCACATCTTTCAGGATGAAAAACTCCACATATACAAAAAAATCGTGCATTGATCTGAAGATCGTAATTTCACAAAGTGAATAGTATATACGCATTCTTACAACAGAATGCATCTTTACGCATTACCGTAGCGGCTTTCTTTCCATCCTCAGGATGGAAAAATATAACTATACCCACTATGAAAAAAAACAGCGTGACCTGGATTGTTATTTCTATTCATGTCCACAAAATATAGAGGCAGATTAATGCATCCCTGAGGACATTACAACAGAAAATGATGATTACAGGCGGTTCAATCGAAATCCCGCAGGCAGTGTGGTGCAATACACTGAAAACAATACAAGGGCCCCATTAAGACTGGAAAAGGCTTTTGGGTTTGTTGGCATGAGCGCAGTTGAGGTCAAATCAGTGAACATTTAGGTTTGTGAGAATTTCTATAACGCACAATAATGTGCATCGCAGCAATCACACTGTAAAAGCCTAAATGAAGCCTAATGTATGAAACACAATACATAATTTTGACCGTCATAATAAAACAAAATGCTTTCCATTGGTTGAATATGCAGCAAGCCTGCAGTAAAAAATGAATTTAAACATTGTAAACCCTGACACAAGTGTAAATGCCAGACCAAGCACGAACAAGAGTGTAACTACCGAAAACGTAGCACATTTTGATAAAAATGCAATTTTGAAACCCAAGAAAGTGGATTAATGATAGTTAAACAACATAACTGAAATCATCTTATGTTTTTCAGATTCACCCTGAGGAAGCTAAACGCTCAGGATTAAGCGAATGAATGGCGTGTGTCATACAGCGATGATGGAGCATCCGGCTCTAGAGGGTTTAACCTGGCATAAGAGAGGGGTGGTGGTCGAGGAAGGGGAATCTGAGGTAGAAAGAGCCGACTAGGAGTGGACGACTCCGTTCTTGGGCAAATCAGGGCTGCTGGCCACCTGTTCGGAGGACAAACTGAGAGATGACGTCTTGCTGGTCAGCGAGGACATGCTGCTGCTGACGAAACCACAGTCCTGGACCAAACTGATGGAGCCGTTTGAGCCCTCACTACAACCAAAGAGAGAAAGGCGATGAGAACTACTGTGATGGACACAAGAACCCACATGTGACCATACATGTATTTGAATTTCTTTCAGTGGATGTAAACCATGTACTTCTGAAAGCAAATCTTGACTTTAAATAAATAGCACTTACGCACTAAAATATTTTCTTTTTCTTGATTTAAAACACATTTTAGTGAGATTCACTGTTATATTTCACCTAAGAGTGAGTGGATCTCGCTGTAGAGTGTGTTCGTCTTGTCCATTTTCGACTGAGACCCGCTTGTACTTGCCATCGTGGTTCTCCTGAAGGCAAAATAATTCATGCTCAAGCACAGCAATGTAAATCACATGACTTTTAACACTTCCTGAACTTCACTGAGTGAACAGAAATATAAAAGCTACTGAAATTACACTCCACAATACCAGTTTGAAAAAAAAACACAAAACTTTTACAAATGACCTTGCTTAAAAATTGATTTTCTGCTCAAGAAATGGCCACAGTCGCATTAATTATTCCCTGGAAATAGAATAGATTAATTATGAATAATTAATAGAAGCTCTATAAATTGCATGTCTCGCTTACCATGGCCATCTCATGTGTCCTCATGATGATATCTCTCTCCACCTTGTGCAGCTCGAGACTCAACTGTTCACTGGACAAATTCCCTGATGACCAGTCCACTCGAGACGGCTGGGACATGACTGAGCTTGGGTTCTGCCAAAAGAGAGAGTGAGAAGCTGAATCATTAAAACAACAACAACAAAAGACCTTATAATTATAATCTTTATTCTTTACATTAATTTCTTGACGTTTTTATAGAATAACAATACTACTAAAAATTAAGATTTTATATATATAATAAAATTAAATACAATTTAAAAATGAAATGAAAAATTTCAATTATGTGTATTATACACGCACACTTTATTTAAATTGTGTATATTTTAATATAATTATATTTAAAATATATATAGCACTATAATCTAAAATATTCTACATAATATTTAAAAAAAGAAAATATATAAAATATACTGTATACAAAAATTATTTCATATATACTGAAGTGAATATTTTATACTTTGGTGTCATTTAGTTGTATTCAATAGAGAAATAATATATATTAAAAAAACTTCAACATACTATACATAATGTATTTTTATACAATTTATATTTTCATTTATATAATTGATATATTTTAATATGTATTTTATTGTTCATTTTAAGTGAATATTTTATGTAGTAAATATTTGATATTTTGGTGTCGTTTAGTACGATTGAACAAGGTGTGAACAGGCCTTTAAAATGACACATCCATCAGGACGGACAGTCTCACCTCCAGGCCGCGACTCTGCGTCTGCTGGCTGATTTGCAGGTTGACCTGCTGTAGCTCCATCCTCAGCTGCTCACGCGCCTGCACGGCAGGGGATAAACTGGACCTGCGGGGTAAGCGGAAAATATTTCACACATTTAGAACCTTTCTAGAATAAAACTACACTGAAACCAAGTGATTACTTGTAAAGGGTGGGGCTGGGCGACATACCGCTCGCTGAAGTGCCCCTGAGACTTTTGGTGCGGCTGGTAAGAGTCGCCACTCCACCCACTGTGATTCGCATAGGTGTAGTCAGCTTAAAAGAGAAGACAAAGACCATTCAAAAAAACACTGAAATAATCATGTTGTCCCATTAGCAATGCTGACACAAAGCAGGAGGAGTTTACCAGCAGAAGCGGTGTGTTTGGCCGAGTTTGGCAAGGGTGGCATGGGACTGTTTGGCGGGTAGCCCGGTTTAGACGTGCGTGAGATGGCTCCAAAACGAGACACGGTCGGCAGGGTGCCAAAGGGAATGATGGGGTCGTCGTCTTTGACGTCTGCCGCTCTGCGTTGAAGCTCCAAGCCGTGTGCTCTCAGACTTTTGCCTTTGTCTAAATTTTGCTGCTAGGAATGGTTACAATTAGCTCAAGAATCCTATATTAATATGCTAATTATTCAGCATACTATTATTTAAATACATCCAACTTCACTGTTTAATATTTAAGAATATTATCCAAGCATTAACACGGAATAAGCCTGAACCGTTAACAAAAATCATTGGTCATCTGTAGGGCTGGGTAAAAAATATCGATATCTCGATTTTAATCGATTCTCATTTTTACGGAACGATATCGATTCTTAAATCCCAAGATCGATTAGTCTAGCCTGTTTTCAGTTAATGGATGGAACATTGAAGGGCACTTCCCATCCAATATATCACAATAAGCATTGTGCTTTGGTACTTTTAATATGAAACAAAGTCTCAGATTTCAAATTCTGTCAAATTCCGTTTTGGCGCTGTTTAATGTGAAGTGACAGATCGCGGCAGCTCGAGGTGCACGTGAACTGATCATCTCCTCCACATTAATACCAGTTTCAGCACAAAATAAACATGACTAAACATCCGAAGGTAAGTTAAAAGAAAGAGTACAATGTCACGTAACGTCACTGTCTCATGTAATCGCTCAATCAGTGTTTCAGTCGCGCAAAGACGTCAATATAACATCTTGAAAACAATGTCACGTAACGTCACATTTACCTCAGAAAAACATATTCGGTGACCATAAACTCATTAGTAAGCTAGAAAAATAAACTGTAGAGAAGGGGCATTTTGCTAAATATATGCACCCTATAACATATTCATTATATTTTACAGCATTAGTTGAGAGATTTTTTTTCCTTGAGAAAATTGGCCATGTACTGTACCTGATATGTATCCAAAATATTTGATATTGAATCGAATCGAATTGGTAATCGAATCGAATCGCAAGCTTGTGAATGAGAATCGAATCGTGAAATTTGTGTCAAAACCCAGCCCTAGTCATCTGTAATATATGTTTATATGGCCTTTGGTTTGTCAACAGTATTTGTACAAACTAGACAGAATAAACATTGATAACCTTTTGTAATGGAACAGTCACTGAAAACAGCACAGATCTGAATGTGTGGGAGAAACGGGACAAAATCCCCATGCAATGTGAAGCCTTTCAGCTTTAATGAACTCAAATTTAAATTTTTTTAATGCAATTAAAAATGTTATTAATAATAATAAAATAAAAACTAAATTTCTTTAACATTCTGGTCTCTAGATCTAGCTATCCTCCTTCAGTGTATGCCTTTGGCCATGTTTTTGTTAAAAATACAACTGCTTGAGAATCCCTTATGTCCCTATAAACATGCAAAACTTACTGTGTCCATGCCCTCTTTGGACTTTATATCCTTGCCGCCAATGTAGGAACCGAAGGGGTCACATGACCAAGGTGAATATGAGCTGGAGTAGTCTGGTTCCCGGAAATGTCCAAAACCATGGGAGTTCTCTTCCATGTACTGCGAACGACATGGATATGGCAACTCATTACCAAACACTACCTACTAGGGCTGCATGATTTGGGGGAAAAAAATCTAATTGCAATTTTTCTGATAAGATATGATAACAATTTTTTATTTTTTTTTAAACTCCAGATTTGCTGTGCTAGTCTGTAGGACTGCACAAATTGTCCTAACATTTTGTGATTTATATTTCAATATAAATATACATTAACACAACAACAATAATAATTTAGTTTTCTTAAAATTACAATACAATATAAATATGAATATAAAATAATAATAATAACTATTATTAAATACAAAAAATTAAATAAAAATATAATTTTACTAAAACTAAGTATTTCATTATTATTTTTACTACGTTTTAAAATTACAATACTAATGTATAACAATAATAATATTAACAATAAATAATTAAAATGGATATTTTACTAAAATAGATTTCAGAAAAAATATAATAATAATTTTACAGTACCAGTTATACCATTATTATTACTATTATTAATTAATTCATTCATTCATTCATTATTTTAATTTTTTTTAATTACAAGACTAATTTATGGCAGTCTTAATTTATTTTTCAAACATTAAACAATTGTTTTAGATTTATTACACGGCTCTGTGGAATACTTGATTCTGATTGATCAGTCGCGACATTCCGAGGTATGTTATCCCTCAATAACAACCGGTAAAATCTGATAACAGGCTCATCCGGGTAACTGAAGTCGGCACTATACGCTTGATAGGAACAGTTTTTCTTTGTGGAAGCTTTGCGTTTGGTTAGCTAATAAAATATTAAAACTGAATTCAGTATTATGTGTACAATTATTATGTCATCCTGGTATCGCGGATTCGCTCTCTCGTTTCATACAAATGCAGCTGCTGCCATTTCATGACGATTGTTTTGTACACTGTAATGGACTATAAGTTAACTAACAAACTGATAAGATTTTTAAAAAATTTCGTCTTAAATCAATATCTTTTATCGCCTTAATTATTTATGTGGTGAAATGTTGTGTAATAAGTGGTATGACTGCACCGTATCCCTTAAATATCCGTCTAGTTTGAACTTGCCGCTTGCTCGCAACTGCTGTCTTCACGGAAGCTTTGCATTCAAATATTTAAACTCAAATCAATATTTCGTGTCTAATTATTTACTTGTGTGGCAAGTAGCCGTGTATTAAACGAGTTAATGTACATCCAGCCAGTTGTTATCACTGAATAGCCCCCTTCAGGGTGATCCTTATTCTGCGATAACAACCGGCTGGATGTACATTATCCCTTACTAAACATGCAGCCCTTCTACATTTTGCTTAGTATTATTATTATTATTTCTATGAAATATTGTTTTTCTGGCTTACATGGCTCTGTCCCTTCATGTCCTGAGGGTAGCTGGGGTCGTGCGAGTGTGAGGAGCTATAGGGCGATGGGGAAACGTCCTTTCTGTCCTCCAGCTGGGCCATGATCTCCTGTCTTCGACGGTGCAGGTAGTCTAGGGAAGGCTGAGATCGCGTGTAGGCATTCTGTGGACACAGTATTAGGTTATGTTTTCTTTAGGTTTGGAATGAGACCCATGTAGTTCAAATATTACAGGTAATGGATCTTACCCTTGGGTAATTCCTGATCTGACTGGAGTGGTTATAACTATCTTGATCTGGCAGGTACGAAGCGCTTTGGGGTGGTAGCGGCGGGGGAATGTCCGGACTCCTACGGACCAGTTCCTCCCTTGGGGGGAATGTTTGGGGATGGGAGTAGGCTGAGTGGCGACGGCCATCGTGGTGTGAAGGGTATCCGTAATGTGAGCTTGGGTTGGCGCATTGGCGTTCCGAGGTGTAGGAACTGGAATAGGAATCCGGATATGGTGGCATGCCTGGATCTGGAGCGGGGTGACGGGTGTAGCGTGGGTGCACATGATGGTGAGGATAAGGATTACCTGTTGAAATGAGGAAAATGAACATTTTTAGAAGTGCAAAGATCTAGAAGTGCCAAACGTAATGTGTTTGTTCAAAAAATAATAGTGTTTTGCTACCTGCTGGGTACTGGGAGGATTCATATTGGGTGGAGGGTGGCAGAGGGCCTCGTGTCTCAGAGTAATACAGTTCAGAGTGGTGTGGTGAATACATGTGAGGAACTCTAGGCACAGCAGGCATGTGCTTCTGTCCGACTGTGCCATCGCCGGCTACCCTGGAGTGGGAATTTATGAGCATCCCTGGTTTTGGGATGGATTCCAATCTGCAAATCAAGAGATAAAGTGCATGATAACTTGGCAGTCTTGCTTTTTTTAAATTAAACAATTTTGACTCAAATTAACATTTCATGTCCATTTATGTATTTATTTATTTGACAAGTAGCCATGTAGTAAGTTGAATAATGTATAGCAGTGTCGTTATTGTTAACTAAAACTATTTAAAAAAATAGTTTTGATTAGTTTATTCAAATTTTAGTATTTAATTATTTTATTTCATTAAGTTGCCAAGGCAACATTTCAAATTTTCAGTTAAGTTTGTCATCTAATAATGATATCTTGTATAGAAAGTATAAATATTAGATGACAAACTTAAACTGAAAATAAGTTGAAGTACTAAAATGAGTAAAAAAACAAAACAAATTAAAGCAAAACAGTAATATTAATAAAAAAAAAACTAATTAAAGGGGTCATATGATGCAATTTAAAATTTTCCTTTCTCTTTGGAGTGTTACAAGTTTTTGCAAAGATTAAAGTCTCAAAGAGATATTCTTCATAAAGGTTAAGACTGGTCCACGCCCTCCTAAAACGCCTGTTTAAACAGGCCCCCACATGTCTACGTCACTGTGTGGGAAGATTTGCATAACACCGCCCAAATGTTCACGCAAAGAAATGATCCGTGCTGGTCGCTGAGGAAATACATCAACTTCGCGCTGTGGATCGTCGAATCTGCTTTCACCGTGGACGAAGCGGGGTCCAGCCCGGGATCGTCATATGTGGTTGCTGCAAGCCCGCCGACCGTTCCTCACTCAAGCCCGCCGTGTGTGACGCTGTGTGTTTCGTTGTGAAAGCGAAACTACTTTGTTTGGCCTTCCAAAAGAGGACACAACTAGAAATCAGTGGTTAAGTTGTATTTAGAGGAGCATCAATAATGTACATTATGTGGAAAATAATGCGTTTTTTTAAACCTTAAACCGCATAAACACATTGCATTACACCAAATACACAACATAATGTTCTTTTTAGCAACATCATATGACCCCTTTAAAAATGATAAAAGCACACAAAATCACTAAAACCTAAACTAAACTAAAATTAAACCTGAAAATAAAAAGCAAATAAAAAAATAACTACTATAATAGTATATAAATAATATAAAATGACACCGATGTATAGACAATTAGTCAGTATCAAAGTTAGTAAAAAAAATGTAATCACTTAAAAAAAAAAATAAGAGAGATTGCTGCTGCCACTGCTAATACAGTTATAACAGTAATTATCCTATAAAAATAATAGTTAGCCATTTCATTCTTTCTAAAAACTGGTCAAATCATGAGACTATTTTGATTTATTTAGATCCATTCATTATTTAAAATGAACAGTTACTTAATAATAATAATAATAATAATATTTTATAGTTAATAATATTTATAATATTTTTCATTTTTTACATAGCTCTTAATAAATTAAAATATACATTATACTTTACAAAAGGGATCCTTGGCAAGGGGATCTTCTCATTTGGCAATATGTGATGTAAAAAGGTTTGAAATCCCCAGTGCTAATATATGATTTATTCCCCCCCACTAATAAACAAATAAACTCACGACTCTGGAGGTGAGCCAGGCGCACTGAGGCTCCCAGAATTCATCTTCTCCGGTTTGTGTGTTGGGTCATATGACGGGTCCGAGCCTCTGGAAACCAGGTGGGCCAAAGTGGATTCAGGTCCTGTTGCTAGGATGATGTTAGTGATGGAGGAGGGTTTGCGTGGGAGTCCCTCCATCAGCAGCCCCTCGTCAGGCAACAGACCGGTGCCGAAGTCCATCTCATTCAGCTGGGTCAGGGACTGGCTGAGCTGGCGCCTCATTCCCAAACGTTTATTCATCTTACGGTATCTGTTGTCAGAGAAAAGGTGGTGAAGCGGATACTAATGCTTATTATGCTTTACTTAATGTACTTCAAGTGCTGCTTACTTTTCAAGCTCTTCCTGAGAGTGAGCGAAGGTGCAACTTGCCCCACGAGGACAGCCGCCTTTTTGTTTCATGTCCCGACACATGTAGGTCTTATATTTGCTGTGCTGAGGTGGCTGTGGACAGGAAGTGAGATGTGCTTACTCATTTCTGTGCAAGTTATTTGAATGACCTGATTAAAAAAAAAATGTTTTTAATAAAAAATAAAGCTAAATATAAATATATGTATAAAAACAAAAAAATAAAATAAAAATGACAACACAAAGTTTTAACTGAACTGAAAATATTAAAATAAAAGCTAATTCAAATATTAATAAATACTATAATAGTACATAAACATGAAAATATACCTGATGTATAGATAATTAGGAAATAAATAAATTCATTAAAAAAAAAAATGGTCAAAAATCATGAGGCTATTTTGATTAATTATTTGATTAATTTTATTAATATTACTTTAAAATTAAATATTAATATATTGAAACGTTTGTGATCTGGTTACTGACCTGTTGCTGAGCACCTCATTTCTACATAAATTAATGCTAATAAATTAAAGCTAAACAGAAATAATAATAAAAAAAGTACAAAAACAAAGCACAAAGTTTCTGAAACTTAAAATTAAAACTGAAAATATAAAAGCTAATTTAAAATATTAATAAATACAACAACAGCATATAAATAACACTAAAATAACACATGTATAAACACTTAGTGATTATAAAAAAAAAAAACCTCACTGAACTGTAAAAATAAATTAATAAAAGAAGTGCTGCTGCTACTACTATTAAAAATAGATAGATATATAAATGAATGAATAAAAGCATTTCATTATTCTTTCTGAATACTTATAATAAATCATGAGACTATTTTGACACTATTTTAATAAACTATTTCAATAAATTAAATTATTAAAACTATTAAATATTTTACAAATAATATTTTATGTCTGCAATCTGGTTACCGACCTGCTGCTGATCCCCTCCTTTCTTGCTGTGGTTCTGGATGAAATCTACCAGGCCATGAACGACGGTCCGCACCGCTTCCAGCCCTTTGGCTAGCTGCTCCCATGTGGGCGCAGGGGCATCTGTTAGTACAAAAAACAGGTGTGAACATTCAGACATTTATGTTGTTATGAATGGCTGTATTGACAAATGTGTGAATGGAGCAGGCTGACGGACCTGGGCTGGGGTCGATGTCGGCCAGCAGCTCCAGATGGGGTCTGAGGCGGTTGAGATTGGCTGGATCTCCGGTTCTCTGAAGGGCAATGGTGAGTTCCTGCACACTCTGAGCAAAGGATGCTGGTGTCTGCAACTGAAACACACAAAGCCACATAACCACATACTTCACATACTAGCAAACAAAGTCAACATGTTTTCATGCACGATGTGACGTTCGCTATACCCTAAATGCGTTCTCTACACAGGGAGGAGTGTTACTAGAGAATTTAAACACGTAACACTTGGCCATACAATATATATAAATTTTTTTTGCAGACCTGCCTTAAAAAAACTACAACGCCACCTAGTGAAATCTTAAAATAATACCCAGGAAACAATCTGAACAGCATATGTTTGGAAAATTTAAAATGTAATTACCTAAAAGGCTCTTTGAACCATAATTTAAAAAAAAAAAAAAAAAAAGCAGTTTTTACTTATTATAATTATACACATCCTCATCATACCTTGTCTATGATAGACTGCATGTGGGATTTGTGCGACTGGTCGCCGTACAGTAGAGATGACCACTGGTCAGGGGCGATACGCAGTCCGCCTTCCATCGCGATCTGAACGATCTGAGAGTCGTGTTCCCTCCGAAGAGCCTCGTACGTGCGAAACTCCTCCTTCAGCTGCATTAAGGAGGAATCCTCGTCACGCTTGGTCACCTGAGATTAAAACAAATAAAATGTTATATATTTAATATAAATAAATACAAAATGTATACTTTTTTTTTTTTATAAATATCTATTACTAATACTGTATCCCCCGGTTTCACAGACAAGGCTTAAGCCTAGTCCCAGACTAAAATGTAAGTCTGAGCGGTTTCAACTGAAAGAAACTTGCACTGACTGATGTTAAAATATATCAGTGCCTTTGTTTTGTCTCAAGATGCACACCAGTAATGTTTTTTCTAAGGCATGTTAATAAAAATTACTTAAATGTCCTAATTGAACTATGGCCTAATCTTGGCTTAGTCTAAGCCCCGTCCGTAAAACCAGGCCTATATGTTTAAAAAATATTTTAAATCTAAAACAGATCTATTTAATATATTTTAAATCTAAACATTTTTAAATCAGCTGACATGAAATCTAATTAGTAATTTTACCAATTTAATATAAATACAAATGAAATATAATTTTTTAATTGTATATTTTATAAAATATTTATCTTTTATATAATATTTTAGATATGTTGAGGTTACAACAAAAATGCTACGCAATAAAATTGTATACTTCCATGTTACATTTTTATTTATATGACTTATATACGTTACATTAATACATTATATACGATATATATATATATTTTAAATTAAATCTATAGCAATGAGAAGCATTAATATTGTAAAGGAAAAGAGGAACAGTAAAGGCACCTTAAAGCAGGAGGCCCTGTAAAGGAGCTGCACCACGTGTCCTATGCTGGTTTTTGAGGCCTGGGGAAAACGTGGTTCGAGTCTCTGGACCACAAACAGGACCAGAACCTTCCGTGAGAGGGCTGAACCATCTTCCAGAGCGAGCAGGACCAGCTTCAATGCTTCTTCCTGCATAGCTGTTGGGTGAAACACAATTTTTGTTAGTGCCCCCAAATGACTTTATCAGCCTGCTATCATGTTATAGTGGTAAAATCTTACCAGGGCCAAGAAACTGGCAGCCTCTGGCTCTGACGGCGGCCCACAGGTTGGAGGAGAGCTGCTGGGGGTTCTGGTGCTGGAGGATGAGCTCAGTGACAGTACGTTCACCCAGAGAGCGGGCCGCCCGCATGGCCCGGATGCGGCCCTCCTCCTCCATCAGCTGGCAGTGCACCAGAGTCACCAGCTTCCTCTGCATGGGTCTGCTGAGAACACTTTGAGCAGCAACATTCAGCCCTGCACCTGCACGGACCAACACCAACAAAAAAAACAAATGTTAACTGAGCCTTTTCAGGATCAGGATTACCGATTATCATGAAGGATGATGAAACACTTAAAAACCATGTTAAAAAGCATATGCTAAGGATGATAAATATGGTGAATTGTTAGGTGTCCAAACAATAAAAAACGAATTAATAAATACAAATAAAATAATACATTAAATAAAGTAAATATCTTAAATAAAAATAAATACAATATTATATTAAAAAAATATTGCAATCGCAATCCAATTATGATATCTTGATGCATTTGTTGACGTTTATGATTAATCACTTTAAAAAAAAAAGCATATGCTAACTTGTACTGAATAAATGAACAAAAAGGGTCATGTAAAATGGCAGGGACCTCTGGTGTTGCTCAGGGGTTTGAGATAGAGGGCCAGGTCCTCCACACATGTGCGAGACTCCTCATAGTGCTTAACGTCCTCTGCAGCTGTCAGTAAAGTGACGGGGGGAGGTTTGGGTACCTGCAGGACAAAGCATAACATTTGTCTGTCACCATACCAAAGATAGTTCTCATCTACAGGGCTTTGATGGCATTCTTCACATAATAGGTCATCTGATGGTGCTGTCAGCATTCCTCTACATGTAGAACATGTTCACACCCACAGACTGAGCAACAACTCTCATAACAACATGTGATTTAAAAACAGAGAGAGGAACGATCGTTTTGGCCACAAAAGGTCCCGTCATTTGGGCTGTCGTGACTGTGAGGTTTGGCTGATTCAGTTACTTAAATAACTGCATTTTTGAGAATAGACTGAAGCTTTAGGACTGACACTTTAAAATGGTAGAATGATTTTCAATTATATATGATTATTACATCAGAATCAGATACACTACTCTTAATACTTTTATTCAGCAAGAATGCATTACATTGATCAAAAGTGACAGTAAAGACATTTGAAAATGAACACAAATGTGGTAATGGGAAGAACAACATGAATTTCTAACATGAAGTTCTAAATATTAAAATATGAAGAAATTATTTAAAATATTTCTCCTTTTGGTCCACTTTGTGATTGCCAAGTCTGCTTTACATTCACACAATTTTTGGGAATCCATCCCAACTGAATAATACATTAGTAAGAAATATTTTCCAATAGTAATACATTTCTGCACTAATTTCTGTTTTTGGTTTCATTTTAAAGGTGGTCACTCATGCATGAATAAAGACATTTGATTTTCTGAATATAGATAACAGTTTTTAAACAGGCAGTTCATCTTGCATGTTTAACATGGTTATCTTTACCTCATTTGCTTTATGTGAAAACCTGCATGGACCCACGCCATCTGCAGTTTTGCAAACGTGAAACCGTGGCCTTTTTGTATTTGCTTAATTACCTTATTTAAATGCAGCGCCCAATGGAGCGCACTATGACTGTGGTCATCTGAATTAATCGTGACTAGACGATTATGTAATAGTTGCGTCAGTCATACCTATCACCGCATGTGCAGAATGAAGAAGTATTTTTACAGACAACGCTGGCAATGACTGGCTGATGTTGATTCAACTTCCTGGTTCTCCACTGGCTGTGTGAGTGAGGAAGCAGTGTGTTTTACAGTCTCATGTCATACAGTCATACGCTTCTGTGTCACATCAGGCCTGAAATCCAACCAGACCGGAACGATCGCAAGCTGATCTTCAGAAACCTGACGCCCTAAGCTCCACCTCTCCATGCTGTACGTGACATGTTCTGCTCATCCTCTTGATTCAGAAACAAGTGGATGCAGTAAACACTGTAATAAACACGCTCCACCTAAAGTACAACTGCTGTGTTGTCTGCACGATCACTGCGGTCTGGTCTTTTTAGCAGTTTGCCTCACGTTCCGATTGTTAGCAAGGTCATTGAAAAGGAAAAAAGTGCATTTTGTTTGAGTTACAAGGAACCAGAGTAGTTTTACTTCCTTATCCATACTTAGATTGAGGCTAGGGTAGGGGCCACAACTTCATCCATATAAGAGAAGTCAATAAAAATGTGTTCGGTACAGATTGAACCGATGTGCACTGGGCCATCATATGCGCTCATGTTTACGGTTTCTAAAATAACATTCAAATAATGTTTTGTTAACGAAAATCGGTGAAATCCAGTAGTTTCAATAGGAACACACGCAATTGGGAGTTTCATGTTAAGACGGAATGCAGATTTTTCACAGTTGCTCACGCAAATTCGCCACACTGACTAATAGAAACCTGCCTAGTTTGAAAGCAACTTCTTTGTGAACTGTGCTTTATATACAGTGGGTATAGAAAAGAATCACCCCCCTTTAAAATAATCACATTTTGTTGCTTTGCAGCCTGAAATGAAGACGGACACACATTTAGACTCACCTGTCCGCTGACAAGCTGCAAGAGCGCTGTGTTGACGGGCAGCTGCTCGATGTCCGTGCTGATGGTGGTCTGGTCGAAAGGGCAGGCCTTGCGGTGCAGTTTGTTCAGGCACATTTTGCACACGGTGTGGCCACAGCCCAGGCTGATGGGCTTGCGGTGGCTCTCCTCGAAGGTTTGCGTGCAAATGGGACACAACAGAAACTCGGTCCATTGCGGGGCTTGCACGGGCATTGTAGCGAAGCGCGGTCTGTGATGCACCGGTCCCCAAGATCTTCTCTTATTGCTGCATTTGTGTCTATGTGCGTTTTGCGTAAAACGATATAACAGTAAGTCCTAAAGGTTCCACTGGAACCGATAAAGCTTTTCCACAGATCACAGCTCTTAAATATTTCCTGGCATTGTGGGCGTTCAGCACATAGTGTGAAAAACATAACCTGAAAGACAAAAAAACAAAACACAAATGATCACTCACATCAGTAAATCCCAACATGCCAAATGATCTTGTTCAGCCATAAATTACTTAAAGGGATAGTTCACCCAAAAATGAAAATCTGATGTTTATCTGCTTACCCCCAGGGCATCCAAGATGTAGTTGACTTTGTTTCTTCAGTAGAACACAAACGAAGATTTTTAACACAAACCTTTGCTGTCTGTCAGTCATATAATGGAAGTGAATGGGAATCACGGCTTTGAGAGTCATAAAACAT